CAAAGATGGGTTCAGTTGTTGAAACGAGTGAGCCTGGTGTTTTTGATACCGTTGTACGATACTGCCCGAATATTCTTGTGCTTGCTGCTCCAATGACCAAGAATCAACTTCCGTGTCTGTATCAATTACTGCGTTATTCATCTTGTCGTCTAACGAGCCTGAGTCTGTTTGCTCCAGACCGTAGTAAACGTTGCAGCAGTCACGACTTTACAACCGAGTTGGGCGCACTGCTACCAAAGACATTGAAACATTTAAATTTGTGTATATGTATAGGTATTAAAGCAATGCAAGTGTTTCTCAAGGAAGCACCAAGGAGTTTAGAGACTCTGTATGTTGAGGGATGGACTTCTTTTAATCCAGTACAGAGACGAGTGGCAGAGGAGTATTTGGCGGGAAGTAACAGAAAAGAAAATGCTATCCAGTTTCTGAAATATGCTATCTGATCTATTTCATGAGACTGGATAATTTATATATAGTGTGAATAAACATTGTATTTGATTTTGAGTTTCATTTCAGTTCATATATGATGTATGCATCTATGAGCTGAAATGCTAAACTCATGTTTCTTGTATAGTATCCAAAATAGAAAACAATGTGAATACTGATTTTCAATACTCTATTTAAATAAACAAACCAATTGTATTTTCAACGTAAATTTAGCATATAATGGTTTGCTCATCTTAATCTTGTGGAATGCAAACTGTCAGTCCAAAAGTCGTTCAGATATACTGACAAGATAAATTTGGAATGCACGCTGTAATTTTGAATATACACAAATGTTTTTTCATACAGAGATGATGCAGACAAGGCGAGAGTGTAGTAGATGCGAATAACGAACGGATAATTATTCAGGATTTAATAGATCAAGTAGATTTGGTTGGTTTGATTTTATATTATCCGTATTTAAAATGGAAATAATCCTCCTTACAGAATTGTGTTATGTAGGATTTATTTCTAAAAATTTCGTCAGGAATATAATGATTGAATGAGTCAGTAAAAACTTCTCATCATAGGCTCGCTCTTTTATCGAGCGTAGCAATTCTTATATCGAAAGTTTCTTATATCAAGCGTTTTTCCTACATTGCGATATTAATATATTTTATTATATAACATATTAAAAAAAAAAAGTACAAAGCTAACACATTTTAGACCGTACTTGTTTTAAGTTGGAGACCATGTTATGATGACCGCACTCCTGACATTTGGTTATTAAACTTTTCTTTATACACAATATCGAGCTTTACTACTACAACGACTATAGAATTAGTTTAAGTACCCTCGATTTCTTTAACGGTTATCATAAATCACAACGCCATATTTATCGGCATAACCAGCCTGACGTGACGTAATATTTTGGTCGATAGCTCCAACGGGTACCCTTATGTGAATAATACCTACAATGTGACAAGAAAACTTAACTACAGAAAATTCGTTATAACTCTATCAAAACTGCACTAATTGTAATTATTATTTAAAATATGAAACAAAAAATTTATCAGAGTTAAAAATCAATCCCCTCACCGTTGTTTTCTATGATTAACCTAGCTCACAACGACGACGCATTGAATTTACTAAATCGTTTAAAACGGATTCCGGAATAGAATTCCATTCCACTCTTTTAATTAGTTCAAATAATTAGGCGGTCGTTTTTCAACTTGCTCTTAACGATAACCATAATTTTCTATATGATTAAGGTCAGGAACTACAAGAAGGCCAGTCATAACCTTGGTCTCATTCGCTTATGAACCTCCGTGAGCAATGTAGTAGTTAAAGCCAAGGTTTTCTCTAGCCTAAAGCTTTTAAATTTCTGCCAATTGTACGATAAGACGCGCCGACATTAGTATGGTTGAGTTTATTGTCAAAAGAATGTAATGTTGATGTATCGGTTTGACCGACTAATTTCGCTATATTAACCGTTATTGTCTTTCGGACGACCAATACCGCCTCTATGCTTCAAAGTACCAGTTTTTGAGTTTATAACGTTATATCGTACAGTTGAGACTGATAACTTTGTTTTTGCTAGTTTAGGCACAGAACGGACACCATAATTCCAATAATGTAATGAAGCTGCATTTTCCGTTCGTGGACATTTTGACGGTACATTTTGAAAAGTTTGTTTATGCTTTTATTATTTAACACGCGTAATAAAAGCTTGTTGTTTACATTTTTTGATTGGCAAAATATGATTATGATGCAAATTGAGCTATAATTGATAAAAGTTAACTAGCAGTAAATTTTCCTGCAAATGGTTAAGTTTTTTTTGTCATACTAATACTGTATTTAACCGGATTGAAAACAGCTAATACTAATAATAATAAACTTACAATTGGAAATAGTCAACTGGTTTCACTGTGTATTGTCTTCTCTAAATAATAAATATTTCTCTAACACGAACATGTGAATCCAATGGTGCCTGCTGGCAAAGTTCTCCATGAATTATTGTACATGCTAATCTCAATAGTTAACATGAGAACTTGTTTAAATAGTCTTTACTTCCAAAGATAAATGTATTTAAGATGTATAGACATTGATTTATTAACCAGTTTCATGTACATTCATTTACATATATTAATATGGGCGTTGGCAGTCAAATATAATAAAGAGTTCTTATTGAGAAAATCATGCCACACATTCCAAGTGCAGTCTATATACAATCAAGACTGTTCTAAGGAGGAAATAGATTGGCGCTCGTGCTGAGCATTGACACTATAGATTTTCTCGATAACCATCAAATTAAAATGGGTCAAATTTTTTATGTATAATCAAGTATGACTCAAGCTTTAATATAAATATTTATAAAGCTGAGACGATCTGTGTCAAAACTTTTTGAACCCCCCACGTATATGATGTAACATTTATCCAATACTATCGTGTAAACAGCGGCTTCGATTAGTGGATAATTTTCTGGTACAACGTAATGCGCATTAACTTCAGAATGCCATTTAAAGGACCAGAAAGGATACACGGTAACGTCGGGTAAAGTCGCTGTACAATAATTGTCGTGATGTTTTATCTATTCTCTGAAGAAGATGCTTGCATATTAGGAAACGACTGTGAAGGAAGGCTGGACAGCTACATATCCACCTATCAACATCAATGTAATAACGTTCTTCTGCATGTACAGCTATGTCTTCAGTAGCACAACTTTTCCATGCGCGCGCTTAAAATTCTCCCACCAATATGGATTGACTCTACCGTTTGCTAGCTGATGCAACCAAGTAGTTTGTGCTGCAGCTACTTTTTCGCAAAGGACAAAAACAACGTAATCTATTCGGGGACGATTAAATCTGTACAAATAGTTTTTACAACTTTCCAATGGGCTTCAATTATCATCCCAAACGGTGAGTTGCACCAGCAAATTCAATATGATCGTCGGCTGAGTTTTACGCTCGAGTTTTACGCACTATGAAAAAATTCAAATCACATGAATTCTCTTGCAGCACGTGATGTCGACCAATGATTGTGATTGATGATGATGACATTATAATCACCGTGTCAATTCGAAACAGAAGGAACGTAGAAAAGTACTGAACAACATAAAGAAAGATCTCGGAAAGGTGGTGAGATCGGAATCTGGTTTTGACGCGACGCGTAAAAAGAAAGCCCAAAAAATAATTGACAACTGGAAGGTCCTGTATGTTCTATTATTAATAAGATAGCGATTTAAACAAGTACGGAAAAGCTGTGACTCTTAGTCTACAGTTATGAACTCTTCGTTCTTCCGGAGTGCAAGCTATGACTCTTAGTCTATAGTGATGAACTCTTCGTTCGACACTTAAGTGAGCGCAAGCTGTGACTCTTAGTCTACAGTTATGAACTCTTCGTTCGACGCTTTCTTTGCTTGTATATTTATCTTTATTACATATTGTTTCTTGCAAGCACTGTTACTTGTTTATTAAGAATTAGACCATGATACAAATTTCAAATTCGAGTTTAATCAGGTGAGATTCTACCTTCTAACCTGAAAACTGCTTAATATTAAGACCAAAAAACTTGAGTAACATTTTTCTTCGATTCGATACAACAGCAGGTGCTCACGATTGGTAATACTGTGACTATTGATAATATCGATAATCGTCGTGTAACTGGGAAACATCTCAGAGAAGATGAAATGGAAACACCGGTTGATGTAACTCCACTGAAGCAGGTGGAAAAGGTAAGGCCACTGTCCCAATATTTCTGTAAATAAAAAAAACCTATTTATACGTTCTGTGGATTAGCTTCCTTGTGAATTTGAAATTTCTCAAACAAAGAGACCTAGAAATGTTCCCCCTATGAACCTGCAACAAGAAGCAATCGTTGACGCTGGGCTGACAACTAGTGATAAATTCCAAGAAACTAATACTGAAAAAGCAGGAGAGGTAAATAGTTTGGATTATTCTGATACAATTTTTACATCAGACCACAGGAAGGTAAATACTAATTGTTCTTCATTGATTGTCGTGATAATGCTTCATTTTTTGTAATAGGTCAGGCAAAAACGTTTTTGATGTCTCGTTTGACGAGTACGTTGGCTCAGGCGTGAACATACAAGACAGAAGTGATGATATAGCTGAGTCAAGCGAAGATCTTGAGTACGAGAACGATGAAGAGATAAAATTGAATCTTGATGACATCTCAAGAGAATTACAGCGTGAACCAGCGGTTAAAGTATGTCATGTGTTGGATTTTATATTTCGCATATATCAGTCTTATTTTTTTTTAGTGGGAGGTCGATAATATTAACGTAACAGACAGATTGCGAACCTACCAAAAAGATATACTTAAGAAGGCGGAACGAGAAGGTTTAGATTATAAAAACATTTATGAATCTCTGTAGGTATTCAGAAATATAACATTAAATCAAGATTTATTAAAAAAATTTTTTCACCATTTCATTTAGAGCATTATCTTCAATCATTGTTCTCACATGGCCGAATCATACCCTAATATATTCACAAAACAAGAGTGGGCAGAAAAATTATTAATGAGAATTGGTGATATATGTGGATTGGATAAGCCGATATAATCTCGCCTTCATTACTCAATTTCAGATATTTTAGTTAAATATACCACTTTTTTTTCGAACTCGAGAGAAAAAAAGAAAAAAAAGCGCGAGAGTATGGATGAGGTCGCTTTCTTGGAATATAAACGAAATTTCGAGGCTAAGATGGGCGTACCGCACAAAAAAATAAATCTTTAGCAATCATTGAATATGTGTAATTGTTATATTCAGCTATACATTGTTTATCGCTGATTTACTATTATTCACTACAATATACAGTAAATATGATTACCGTAAACTCTCATGAATAAGAATAAGGGCCCCCCTATATGAAAGTGGCGATCATGTGATAAGATCTGTAATGGTTTGAAAACGGCTAACCCCCCTACCCCCCCTCATCACCCACTTTATTATCAACCAAATATGATATATGCAGCTCGTGACTATGTAATAAACGAAAATAACGCGGGCAACTGTTACGTGACGATGGTGGCTTAAAAACAATGCAAAATGATCTACAACCAACCCATCCATGAATAAGAGCCCCCTTATATGATGAAGGGATTTTATATATAGACAGTGACGGGGGAGGGTGACTGTGACTATCAGGTGACTGTATATCATTATGACAAAAACCGGGACCGAACCAAAGTGAGGTCGACTGGTGTATTTCCCTGTCAGATTATCTGCACCGGTCACGTGAATACTCTAATTAATTTTCAATGAAAAATTTTCACTCGTTTGGTCTCTAATATTGTAATTATGAGCGACTATTCAGATTCCGCATCTGCTGTAACTAGTTCTGACGAAACAAAGTGCGATGTTAAAAAAGACGATATAGACGTGTCAACATGGGTAGATAATATGGATCAGGAAGATATACTGGACGACGAGACTTTTATTTCGCAACAAGTCCAAGCCGGAAATAGGAAAAAGAAAAAATCTGGCGGGTTTCAATCAATGGGTTCGTGATTAGCCCTTCTGCATTTAATTATATGTGTGCAGCGAATATCTCAATTGCGTCTTAATTCCAACAGGGCTATGCCATGCAGTGTTTAAAGCTATTCTCCACAAGGGTTTTAAAGTCCCAACTCCAATACAACGTAAAACAATCCCTTTAATAATGGAAGGAAATGACGTAGTTGGTATGGCCCGCACTGGTTCCGGGAAAACTGCCGCATTCTTAATACCGATGATAGAGAAACTCAAAACGCATTCCGCTAAAGTTGGAGCACGCGTAGTAATATTATCTCCCTCACGTGAATTAGCTATTCAAACTCAAAGAGTATGCAAAGAACTTGCGAAATACACTGATCTACGTACGTGTGTAATTGTTGGAGGAGATGGTCTGGATGAACAATTTGCAATGATAGCCAACAATCCTGACATTTTGATCGCGACTCCCGGAAGATTATTACATTTGATTGTCGAGATGGATTTGGATATGAAGACTGTAGAGTATGTTGTATTTGATGAAGCTGATAGATTATTTGAAATGGGATTTTCGGTGCAATTGCATGAGATATTAAGTCGGCTGCCACAGAATCGACAGACTATGCTGTTTTCTGCCACAATGCCGAGAGGACTATATGAGTTTGCAAAGGCTGGATTACAAGAGCCGAAATTGGTGAGACTGGATGTTGACACAAAAATAAGCAGTGATCTTGAGGTTTGCCATATTTATCTATGTTTTAAGTATTCATATGCATGTTCTTGGAGTCATGCGCGTAATTTTAATGATAATACGATGCATTGTTATAGATGGCTTTCTTTTCGGTAAAACAGCCTGAGAAGGAAGCAGCATTGTTATACATATTACGCGAGATTATCAAGGTTCCTTTATCTTTACCCTCATCAGAAGCCAAATCAGATGATGATAAACCGGCAACAGAAGGAAAACGTAAGAAAAAGAAAAGTCAGATTTCACAGTATGCAGTCTTTCCTCACCAGACCCTGATATTTGTCTCTACAAAACACCACGTGGAATATATCTCTGCACTGGTCAGTTTGGCTGGATATCAATGTTCTTATGTTTATGGAACCCTTGATCAAACAGCAAGAAAAATACAAATCAATAATTTCAGAAATGGGAAGACCAATTTACTAGTGGTTACTGACGTAGCTGCACGTGGAATAGATATACCTATTTTGGAAAACGTAATTAATTACGATTTTGTAGACAGCAGTAAAATGTTTGTACATCGTGTTGGAAGGACGGCGAGAGCTGGGCGTAGGGGTTGGGCGTATTCGTTAATAACTTCCGATGAGGTATTTACGAAATATTATATTAAGTATATTTTCATGAGCAGTGACTTCCACGACGGCCGTATTAACACATCTTCAGCTTCCTTATGTACTTGATCTCCAACTTTTCCTTGGTCGACGTCTTCTCGTTGGTTCGACATCTAGTTCATATCAAGACTATTCATCAGACATAATACTTGGCTGCTTTCCTCCTGACACTCTTGACATTGATATGGAGTGGGTAAAATCAAAAGTTCTGAATGAAAACGATCTGGCTTCTCTTCAGAAGGTAGCAAAAAATGGGTACAAATTGTACACAAAGTCAAGATCATCAGCATCATCAGAGAGTCATACTAGGTCAAAACAGTTGTATACGACTAACTTGACGTTAAATATTCATCCAATATTTGGTATGTAGCGCTTATTTGTGCGAGTTATGTAAGCGTTTAATTAAACAAACCCCATAGCCGTTACTAATAAATGAATTGATGTAGCCGAACAAGTCGACGAGCAGGAGAAGAATTTTTTGAATTTTATAACTTCGATATCTAATTTCCGCCCTAGCGAGGTGTGTTGGGTAGAATACCACGTTCGTTGATTTCGTAATCCATTTTAGAATATAAGCTTATTTTCTGTTAGACGATATTCGAAATAGGCAAGCGAGGCATTAATAAACAGTCGTCCGCTGCTCACATAATGAAGAAAAGACGTAGCGCCGTCGGAAAACTGATTGAAGATTATAAAGCGAGTAAAAAAGAAGTACCGGATGTGAACCAAACAGCAGTTACGAAAAGTCAGGAAACTTTGACGATGATATCGGATATTTCGGAAATGGAAGATAGTCAGGTAGTTACAAGAACGTATCTCGTATGATTTGTTCAATGACATAACCTTTGCATTTATCATAGGAGTCTAATAAGAGAAAATCTGTGGGTAAAAGTGAATTAAAAGGTTGCGTATCCTGTTAGCAAAAATTTTTGATCTTGAGACAACTATTGAAAATTTAGAGCAACGATTTGGTTGGTTTATAAAAAATTGCCTTTCGAAAAGTTGATTAATTTTCTTCTAAACACTTTCGTCAAATAGCAAAGAAGCGGAAAGTAACGTCTTTTAAGGATGATGAATATTACATTCCTCACGTTCAGAAGGATGCCAACACAGAAAAAGGGTATGCTACACAGATGCTGATACGTTAAAAAACCCTTATATAGAACTAATAGCTTACTCATATAATTGCGCAAAAGTTATTCGATCACACAAGGCAGCTCCTTTGCGGAACAAGCACAAAGAGCTATCTTGGACTCTCAAGGTGATGAACATTCTCTGCTGCTAAAGACGAATGCATTAAGATGGGATTCCAAAAAGAAGAACTTTGTGCGTGGCATCGGTACGGATAACAAAAAACTGATCACAACAGAAAGTGGAACAAAAATACCAGCGACATACAAAAGCGGACGGTGAGTTAGTTTTTTTGTTACCTCACTTTCATGAATTAAAAGTAACTTAACACGTGACTTCATTAGATTCAAAGAATGGCAAAAACAGAACAAAATTTCGATACCGGCTACAGGTGAAAAGGAAATTCCCGGATCTCACCTACAAGCAAAGCGTTACCGTCACAATAAAATTACCGCGCCTAAACCGCCAGATCCGTTATCCATTAACTATGAAAAGAAGAAGAAAACGTTGCAGAAGATGGATACTGGGAATACATTGGGCAAAGTGACGGACGATAAGTTTAAGACAGAGTTGAAAACCATTGATCAGATAAGCAAAGAAAGGAGGATGAAAGCAAAGAAAAAAGCTAAAAATGCTAGGCTACCGCGAAAATTGCGGAAGAAATAATTTGTGCACAATTATGTTGTTAGTGAAATTCAATTGTATAATATAATTGATGATTCCTATTTATTGGTTGCTTATTATTTGCGCGCCAGAATCTAATTATCATTGATAATTGCCAAATATGCTAACCATACTATGAATTTTAAGGAAGCTTACTATATGGGGCGTGCTAATTATGAATGACGCCTACAAGGGAATAGGCCAGTAATAGTAAATTTAGTACTTGCACGTGATTCAAAATCTCGACACGTTTCTCGTGCAACCTAATTTGTCAGATATTATGAAACTCACTCCTTTTTTGAAGGAAGCGAAATGCCTGAATATGGAGCGCAGATACAAACCTCCCTCTCTCCAGCTCTTAATGTGACAGAAATACAAAATCCAATAGAGATTTTGCCACAATTATCTTCACAAAAGGACATAACATTATTTCCGGTTTCACCAAAAAAGTGTATACAAACAGCTTTGTAACCAATCTCAAACCTAACAATAATAAAACGAGCCACGCAGTATTGCAATCTTATTTCGCTTTTGGATTATGGATATCAAAGTGTTATGAATTCCACAGAAAATCTAATCCAGACTATACGGCACAGGTCCGAGTTAATGATGATATTAAGGAACAGTTGATTGAAAAAAGTTACTGAGACACTTCGGAAGAGAACGGAAAGGGCTATAAAATTTTTTCTGAAACCGGGAGGAAAGATACAGCAATCCCTAATGGCCAATAATATATCAAAATTGCCTTGGTCAAGTTTTGATTATATCGTTATCAATATTTCGACAACTAATACTAAATAAACTACATATCAATAAAGTTATAATTTACTCGAATTCTGCGTTTTATTTGTAATGGCCGAAAAATATACATTAATAAAGTTGCAACTCCGTTGGTTGCATATATATGCAGAATGTCTAAATTATTGTGGCGGATTAAAACGAAAACGATAACGAAATTTTGGGGTCTTTGGGGTTTCCTTTTAATGCCTTGAAACCCACATATACTCTTTTACTAACAATCCTAACCCAAATTCCCAAAAAAAGGCTAAAAATTATCACCCAAAAATTTTATAATTTTCATACTAAATTAGAAAAAATTTAATCTGATTTCGTCACAATTATTAAAGTTAATAATAAATTGTTTTTTGTGAATGCATGTGACATGGAGCCCCAAGGCCCACTCAGGATTCAAAGAGTAACGGAAAATTGTTGACAATTTTGAACACAAAATTAGCTAAAAATAGACAGTAACGGGAAAATGGTGACAGTGTAGAAGTTTAAAAGCAACGCGTTCTGTGGTGTAGACAGCAAAATGTATAAAAGCAGCCCTTCCCGACCGTCTAAAATCCTCATGTTGTATGCGATATTGATGTTATAAAATTATTATTCGATACTGAAGTATTCGAATATAATAACGATCGACCTTGATCATTATCCTTTAATTATTACGAAATGCTGTTTTCTATTTCTATCGTTTGCTGATACTAATTATTGACACTTCTACGTGACCGGTGGTTTTACAAGGTTGTTAGGAATAAATTCCCGTTCGCAATAAACGGAAGAAAGCTGTCAACGCAGTAGATCGGTAACGACCCGTAGTTGCGGTAAAGCACGCCCTGTTTAGAAATTAGTATTGGATTTTTCCCTTCGATTTCGCGATAATAGAGGGGACACATCGTATAGGGAGTGAAAGCGAAGCGCGCACATAATAATGTCACTTATCAGTTTAGTTCAGCCTTAAGTGAGCAATCGTTGCAGAAAGGACAGCGACACGAGCTAAATTGTGAAAAACCCTCTCGGCAGAACACACCTATGCAATTTACTTGCTCTCCTAACCCAAATTTGGACGCCGGCCGTAAGATTAACATATTCTCGAAAAGTATAACCATATTGATATAAGTACATGCAGAGGGTACTCAAAAGTTTACGGACACTTTCTTATTGTGTGAATTATTCAGTTTT